AAAGGTTACATAGGATTTTCTTCTTTACGTACTGAGGAACAATTCAACACCAGAGGTAGAGGACGTGATAAAGGCAGGGGCAGAGGAAGAGCGTTTAATAATTCCATTGTTGAATGCTGATCTCATATGCAAACTATATAGAACACACCAACCTTGACGAGGGAGAAGAAATGTTACTTATGGCATATGAAGATCTACAAAGGAGATGTAGTAATATGTTTTGTGATTTTCTTTCTTTTTAGAAGTGTAATGTTGTCAATTTAGCCTAGTTTACAATGTTTGAACTTGACCTACATGAATCAAACCAAAAAGGCCTATAGGAGTAAAACGACCACATAGAAAAGGTAAGGGCATATTTGCAACTAAAGCGCAATGGGCCAGGACCAACATGGTTAGTGTGTGCGAATCGTTGGTCTAAGTTAACTAGGTCGTTCAAGTTAGGTCCAAGACGGGTTGCGTCTAGGTCAAGTCAAGATTGATAGAGTTTGAGTTTTCCAGACCAAAGAATTGAGACAAGTTGGTCTAGGTGAAAGGTTGTCATGAGTCAGACAGGCCGAAGGTTGAGCCAAGTTAGCCTTGGGAGTTAGCTTGGGCTGAAAGATCAAGCTAAGCTGACCCGAGTCGAAGAATTGAGCACAACAAGCCTAAGTCGAAAGTTGAACAAAGTCGGTCTGGGTTGAAGGTGGAGTGGAGTCGACCAAGCCAAATTTCAAGCCAAGCTAGCCTAGGCTAAAGGAACAAAAGGTCTAGAGGATGATTGTACCAGTAGGGACCAGACATCTACACAACCGAGCACACGGTTTTGCTGCCATCTAAGGATAGAGGCATCAAACCGGACGCACCGAACGCCAAGTAAGGACCTGACGTCTACACAACCGAACGCGCGATTTTGTTGCCATTGAAGGATAGAGGCATCAAACCGGACGCACCGGACGCCAAGTAGGGACCGGACGTCTACACAACCGAACACGCGGTTTTGTTGCCATCGAAGGATAGAGGCATCGAACCGGACGCCCATACATCCGGGATTGCAAGATTTACCTCATCATCCGGCCACACTATGAAGGTCGGCCACACTATGGAGGCCGGACACGCCGTGTTACACATGACACCCATAAGGGTCGGCCGATCCAAGAGTCGAACTAAGGAGACCGGCCGGCCATACCGCTAATTAGTCAGGTTTAAGGTAAGTTGAGGTTAAAAGCTATTGGGCTGAATTTGGGCCGTGATTAATTTTTCACTAATCCCAAGCCCATAGCGAAAACTATAAATACAGATCCAGGGTGAGTGGTAGACAGGTAGCATTTACTGCACATTTATTACTGTTCGATAGAAAAACGCCATTGCTCTCAACTGACTTTGGCATCGGAGAATCTTTCGCAGGTCTCCCACCCGCGGATTGAAGAAGAAAATTGAGGAACGAGTAAGGAGGACCGGATATACGAAGGACGAGTGGAGGTGAACGTGGAGATATCAGACGACACAGCCCTACACATCCGAAACAATGATCATAAAGCACATTGCGTGTATGATATAATATTAAACATTTGTTTCATACAATTGGCTAAGCTACTGTACATCGTTTAGCAGAGTTAATGTTTAGACGTTTTATCATTTGTTCATGCGCTATATCTTTTGTTCAAACATTAAATGTTTAGACACTCTATTAAGAGTTCTATAGCGTTTAGCATTTTTTGTGTCAATGCATTAGACGCGTTTGAGATATCAGATATTCATATATCATTTGATAGCGTTTAGCATTTTACAAATGATTTGTTATGTCAAACGCTTAGTGGCTTAACACGTTTGGATATTAAATCTTAAGCATAAACTTTTAGCTCAACGTTCACTTGAATGTTTTCATTATGTTAGATGTTGTTTGCTAATTGGACACAATTTACTTAAAACACTACATTCATTTTAAATGTTTATCTCGTTCAATACTTTGGATAAACAATTATATTTGATAAACACTTATTTCATTCAATATTATTCTTTAACACATACAATCATTAGACGCTACATTCTATAAAGAATATTTTGTTAAGTATTATTTGTTAAACTTCAAAACATGATTTACTAGACCGTTTTGTATCTCTAGACGATCTTATCTTAACATTTAGCATTTAAATATGATTAAATAATATCATGATTCTACAATTTCAGCTTGGTTGGAAGCATACCCTAACCTCACTAAAAATACTATGATTCCACAATTCCAATTTGGTTGAGAGTTGGTCGTAACCTAACTAAAAAATACTACGTTTCTACAATTCCAATTTGGTTGGAAGCATGTCGTAAAAAATACTATAATTCTACAATTTTAGCTCAGCTGGTCATAACTTGACTACAAAATACTACAATCCTATAATTCGAACTCAACTAGGAGCAGGCCATAACCTGACTAAAAATTACCACCATTCTACAATTTCAACTCGATTGGGAGCAAGTTGTAACCTTATTAAAAATACTATGATTCTACAATTGTATCTCAATTGGGAACAGGTTGTAACATGACTAAAAAAGTACTATGATTTTACAATTCCATTCTGGTTAGGAGCATGTCGTAACTTGATTAAAAAGTACTATGATTCTACAATTTCAACTCGGTTGGAAGTATGTTGTAACCTGACTAAAAAAATACTACGATTTTACAATAAAATACTATGATTCTACAATTCTAGCTTAGTTAGGAGTAGACTGTAACCTAACTAAAAAATACTACAATTCTAGCTTCGTTGGAAACAGATTGTAAGTTGACAAAAAAATATTACAATTCTACAATTCTGGCTTAGCTTGGAGTAGGCCGTAACTTGAGTAAAATAATACTACGATTCTAGAATTTCAACTCGGTTGAGAGTAGACAATAACCTAACTCAAAAAGACTACAAAATAATACAAGTCTCCCTAATTTCGATGTTAGTTTGGTTAAGCAAAGAGTCTCTCAAATACCTATATTTTTCTAACAAAGTACTATTCTCCCAAGGATAAAAGTGGAACGTTTAAGTTTAATAAAAAAGATTTTGGTCTCCAAAAACACTACTAGTCTCACGCTTCATGAAACTAAGGCTAAGGGAGTTGTGTGATGTTAAGCTCAGCACCGATTGAGTCAATAATTGGGTTGTATGGTGTTAGACTTATTACTGGTTGAGTTAAATAAGGACATGATATATAAAATGCCAACTTGATTGATACTCATGAAGACAGTTATACATAAGATACTAAGATGTTGACAATAAAAGAGAGACACTAAAATAGTGTAATAAGTGGAAGTTTTTTCGAAGAGTAAAGAAATAGAAATTTAGGAGTATGAAAGCAAATGATAAAATAGGCCATCAGAAATTAAAAAAGAAAATTGAATGTTCTAATCGTTTGAAATTTTACCTCAGGCAGAACAAATACATAAATGTTAGTGTTTATATTTTCTCCTAATCAATTATTTATCTAATTTTTATTTATGAAAATTTAAAAATGTTCATTTTTATAAGTATAGTTACACCAGTACAAAAATTATAAGTAACATCAATCTTACTTTTTGATATATTTTTTTTTTGGAAAAGAGTGTTACTGATAAATGAAACATTAACATCCTAACGTTGTTGAAATGTTAAATTGAGAAAATGATGAACAAAGTCATGATATAGTCCAGATAAATTTAATTCAATTAACATCGGTTAATAAGTCACAACCTAAAAGATAACATTACCATATGGAAATCTAATCAAGAAAAAAAAAAGTTTGCAAATCCTATTGTTAATAGCATATTTGAATTACAAACAAGTGTTTTTTTTTAAAAACAACTAAATATTAACTTAGATAAACTAATTAAAGTTGTGAATCTTCTTATGATTGAAAAAAATATTGTGAATGAATGGAATAAAATGATTTTTTGTATACTAGTTTTAGTTGGGTTGACCGTGAGTGTTTTTTATTACAAACGTTACAAGTACAGATGGAAAAAATATTTGTATATTTGCTTATAAAATTCGTTTCTTTGCGAATAATTATTACCATCAAGTAATAGGTACATGTAGATAATAGGTATCCGGGATACTAGGTAATTTAGTACCCGGATTTCTCCATCAATACTTATACTCGTTAAAAAAATAAATTATACTTTTAAAATTTAAATTGTTGTTTAAGTTTTATCCAGAGATTTATTTTTTTAGTAATATTTAAGAAAACACCCAATCAAGATATTTCAGAAAATATAAATAAAAAATTATATTATTGTAAATGTTTTTAATGTCTTAACTTTAAATGAAAATTATAATTAGTTTATTTTCGAAACTTTAATTCAATTTAGACTATTAATTTTAAAAATATGTGAATTTAACTTTTAATCATTTGAGCTTTTTATTTTATTTGATATATATTTTTTTCAATATTAATTGAAAAAAACATTTAAAATTTTAAATAAACTTAACAAAATAATTAAAATCATTAAATTTACGGTTCTAAAAATGATGGACTAAATTTGTCTAAAGCTTGTAAAATTTTTTTATGGATATCCAACAACTAGCTAAACGGTTAATGAATATGATTTTCTTTTATGTGGATCAAGTAACAAATAAGCATTATGCATGCTCGATCTCATCCATTGTCACTGGCTAATATTATTGTCAATGACTTACAGGATCATATGTTGTTGCAATTTGTTAAATATTAAAATTTATTTATTTTTTGTTCTGTGAATAAATGATGTTAGTAATCCTTCAATAGAACTCATTTAATACCTGAAGAAAAAAAAAACTGAGATGCTGCAAATCTGAAATGGAGATTAGCTAAAACGACACTTAATCAAAACAAGATACGGTGATAAACTTCATCCAGTGGTGGCCTTTGTGTTTATATTTCTGGTTCGAATATTATTTTGTCAAAAAATTAAAAATTAAAAATCCAAATCAGAGACGAAAAAGGTCCTTCTTCCACACAGAGGCGTCCACGTGTCAAAAGTTGATTATCTTATCCCGGAGATAAGAGGCCACAGTGATCCTCTCAATCCTCCAAGAGGCCCTCCTCTTGCTCCACACCATCACAAAAACAAAAAACAAAAACGAAAGAAAAAGAGAGATATCACAACACAATCACACTCATTCCTCACTCACCGCAAAAATGGCGTCCTTGCATCATCCCACCGCTTCCCTCCAATCCAAACACGTCCTAATTCCCGGAAAGTCCCTTGCCCAGAAACCCACGCTCACCGTCTCCTTCCCCCGCTCCACCTTCTCCGCTCTCAAGCTCAAGCTCGCCGCCGCTACCCGCCGCTCCAACGGCGCCGCGGGCGCCAGAATGTCGGCCACGGTGTCCTCCAGCTACGCCTCGGCCCTGGCTGACGTGGCGAGCGCCAACAACACGCTGGACGTCACCGCCGCCGACATCGAGAAAGTCAGCGAGCTGTTCTCGGACCCGACGGTGTCGGACTTCTTCGCGGACCCCACGCTGGACGTGAAGAAGAAGCGGCAGCTGGTGGACGAAATCGCCGAGTCCTCGGGGTTCCAACCGCACACCAGAAACTTCCTCTACATCCTGGTGGACGCGCAGAGGATCGATCTAATTAACGAGATAGCGAGGGAGTTCGAATTGGTGTATAACAAGTTGACCGAGACGGAGCTGGCGGTGGTGACTTCGGTGGTGAAGTTGGAGTCCCAGCACCTGGCGCAAATCGCGAAGCAGGTTCAGAAGCTTACTGGGGCCAAAAACGTCAGGATCAAGACCCTCCTTGACCCTGGTTTGGTGGCCGGTTTCACTGTGAGGTACGGCAATTCTGGCTCCAAGTTGATTGACATGAGCGTCAGGAAGCAGCTTGAGGACATTGCTGCTCAGCTTGAGTTGAGTGATATCACACTCGCCGTATAGCCCTCTCTTCCTTCTCTATCGTCATATCTTTTTCTATTCCATTTCGTTTCCTATTATTTTTGGGCTAAGTATAATGTGTATGTATCAATGAGATATGATGAACGATTTCTCACACTCTCTGCAATCTTATAATACTTTCCTCGCCTTTTTTTCTGAAGTTATTTTCACCTTCATTTATCTGGGAACTGACAATCCAATCATATCGTTAGACCTTATCCAACAAACCCCGTGAATAGACTGTTTCAGCGGAATGAACCATAATTCAGATGCTACAACTCATTCACTTCCTTTGATCGGTGGGTTGAAAGAAAAAAAAATACATTCTTAATGTATTTGAGGATTTGTTTCATAGCAAATATGTACAATTATATTTAGTAATGTTGGGATTAGTTTATTTTATGAAAATGGTTTTTATAATCTTTAAGGGTTTATTAAAAATATTTTTTTTATACTTCGAGTTATTATCTTATTTTAACATATTTCAAGGTTCAGCATGTTTGGCGAGGAAAGAAAACTGATTACCTCAATTCCCTTCAGATTGTTTTATCAGGAGCCATCTCTTACTCAGCTCCACATCTTTCTTACCTTTTTATTTTTTTTTATGTATGCCCATAAAAAAAATGCTTTAAAATTAAAGGGGACAAACACATAAAACAACCACTTTTCTGCTTGAATAAGTTTTGCAATTGAACAGAACCTTTATTTCAGAGATAAGAAAACAATGGATGAAAGGATCCCTCCAAATACTGGAAGGGTAAATGCAGCAGCAACATAAATCTCATCTCACTTGTGTCATGTTAACTGCAATGGGACTCCTAACATGGTGTTTCTTATCGGTCCACGTCAACCATCCGAATCCGAAATCAGTGGTGCTTTCAGTTTTCTTCAAGGTCAATGCCACTCTGAACTCCTTCTTTTCACCCTTTTTCTTGAACCTCAGTTTCCTAGGCTCCACCGAAACTTCAACATGTGGTGGCGCTTTTATGCGTACCATATAAGTGCTTCTTCCGGACCCAACATTAGTGACAGTTCGAGAGACATTCACAGAATTTCCAGGGCCAAACTCAGAAATTGTGATTGCTGGATAATTGAAATCTGCTAAACTGACCGACTCTGGACAAGTGTAAGGCTTGTGGTTGAACATCTTAAGCTGGGAACTGTTGTAGCCACGACCACACAAATAGTTCAAAAAATCAGTAATATTCAGGTCATACACAAGTCCAGGGTCCACAGCACTGTTAGGTTTAATATGCCCTGCACCATAGTCAAATGGAGTTGCCTCGTTCAATGACGAGTCCTGGATAGGCTTTCTAGAGTTATCTGTTGAAGTGGCTGCAAAATGCATGAAATGTTATAATTAGAGTGTGCAACAATATGAATGTAAAATTCTCCACGCGTGTAAAATGTAAGGCCTTTGTATAAATAGTTTTACCTGAGGTCATGATTGCTGACTTTATAGCAGCTGGGCTCCAATCAGGATGAAGGGCTTTGAGCAGCCCAGCTAGGCCAGCAACATGAGGACATGACATTGAAGTGCCAGTCATGGAAAAGAAAGGAGTTATTCGTGTGTCAGATTCTAGACCTGTAGCAGATACGGCTTCAGTATAAGCAGCTATGATGTTGAATCCTGGTGCAGTGATATCAGGCTGAAACAGAAAGCAAAAATTACAGTTATACGATCACTTTATATTTAAGTCATCAAATCAAACAACTGAACCTTGAGGATTGCCGGATCAATAGGATTGGGGCCCCTAGATGAAAATAAAGCCACATTTGGAGCTGGCTTCACACCCAATTCTGTTATCACTCTGGAAATATAAGCTGTAGGAGACCTGATAATATAAAATGTTAATTAAGAAAAGGTCCAAGCTGGAAATCAAAGCTCACAAAAACTGAGGCGTGAGGAAGGAAGTTACTTGGTGCTGCGGATGTAATTGTAAATGTAATTGCCATCCTCAAAGCCAACATTAGCAGCAGGAAGCAAGTAGGGTTGGGGTAAAACTTCATTCCCTGCATTCCTTTCATTAAGCAAAAGCAATCCAACGGCGCCTACCCTAATAGCTTCCCCATTACTCTCTAATATATCACCAAAACAGACCAATATTTTCCCCTTCACCTTCTCAGGATCAAGACTTCCATCCTGGCAATTGAGTCTGCAACATTGGACTGAATTACAAGAGAACATCCCCAATGATAAGGTAATTCAGAAGGTCAAGTTGGTATGAGGATTCTTACGCTTCCGAAATAGAACCATTGAAATATTTGGCATCAGCAGAACTAATCAATGGGTACGCCTTATCAGATGATAATCCATACTCTGAAAGGCTACCTCCCTAAAAACAACAGAAAGACAAGAGGGTAGGTTAGATACCCCATGCCACATGACCCTCTTCAGGGTTGTAACATAGATTTCTGATTGTACTTGATATTGGAAATGTTGGCTTGAAAAAGAAAAAAGGCAAAAACTAAAGTGACATGTTTTCCTATAAGAAGAAAGTCAAGGTTCTAGAAAAAATATACCTTGATGATTTTCTTGTCACCAAGTGTAACATAACTAGCGAAGTCTCTATCAATTGTGCTTGCAGCGACTGTGAGCATCCATGGTCCAATGTTGGATACAGATTCAGGAAGAGGTCCTGAATTTCCTGCAGAAGCCACTACTACTATGCCATTGGCAACTGCATGGAAGGATCCTATGGCAATACCGTCTTCGAAATAATCATGGGCCTCCGATCCCAAAGACATTGAAAGCACATCAACCCCGTCACTTATGGCTGCCTCAAAAGCAGCCATAATGTCTGCATCAAAACATCCACCACCGAACGGGATAGGATTTGGCCAGCACACCTTATATGCCGCAACTCGAGCTTTTGGTGATCCACCACTTGCTGTTCCATTTCCAATGCCAAAAACACTAGCTCCAGGAACAAAGCTACCACCAGCTGTTGACAAAGTATGTGAACCATGGCCTTCATTGTCACGTGCACTAAGCAATGACTCATTCAGTTTTATCTGAAAATTTGCCTCATAGCCTTTGTAAAAATATCTTGCTCCAATAAGCTTCCTATAGTGAAAAAAGTGACATTGATGAAAATACCAAACATAGTTAAACAAATGAATCTCCTCACGATGTATTGCAAATGATGTCTTGCCACCAAACACGTGTTTATGATTCATCACCCCAAGGGATGTTGATGTATTATTTGTTTGGAGAAAGTAGGTAGAGTAAAAAGAATCAACCTGTTGCATTGAAATTTATCTTTAGCTTTTTTATGCGTTTGACATATTCCACGCCACCGTTTTGGGATGGGTCCTAACCCTTCATCACTAAAGCTCTTGGATTCGGGCCAAACACCTGTATCACAAAAGTTTTGACATTGGTACGAAAATTGATTAAAATAAGCTAGTATTAGAAGCAAGAACGTCAAGAGCTTATCGTATTGCAGGAGTACCAAGAGCAAAACAAATTATTTTAGTTTTAACAGTTAACTTGTCATAAAAAAAGGTATTGAATAAATGCAATGAGCAGAGGGAAAATAAACACCGCCCAAACGAAATTTAAAAAAATAAATTTAGGATAAGCGTGTGAATAACATCAAAATTTTCATATTCAATACATAATTATCTAAATTCATATTATTTTAAGTTAGTTTTAATGAATTTAATCCATTTAATTGGATGTAGATTGGATTGAATATTTTTTTGATTTTGAATATTAAGGAAAATCTAAGTCAATTCATATTATGAAATGTCATATTAAAATTCAAATAACACAAGTCAGGCCTGGCTCATGCAAAGTTCAATTAAGTTGAATCAAAGTCATATAAAATTGAATTGAATTGGACCAATTGCACCAAAGTCAAGTTAAGCTAGACTAAACTCACATTAAACTAGGCTTAGCTAGACCAAAGATTGGCTAGGTTGAAATGGACCCAACTCAAGTTAGGTAAAGTCTAATCCAAGTTGGACTATGTTACACCTAGTTCAGTCTTAGCTTAATCAAACACAAGTTAAGTTGATTTGGGATAAAAATCATATAAAATTGGCTAGGATGGATCTATACTAGGTAGGGTCAAGCTTGGGTCATGTAAAATTGTTTAGAGTTTAGGTCAATTTAAGTTGGATTGGAGTCACATTAGGATGAATTAGGGTTTACCCATGTTAGATCAACTTGAGGCCAGTCTACACCAAGCTAAGTTGAGCCAAGTCAATAAGGAATAAGAGAAGTTAAAGTACATTGGATTAAATTGAGTTAGGTCAAATAGAGGCAACCAATCATAGGTCCCAGTTTTTGGATCTAACCCAAGTTGAATAATCTGAAGTCCATTCAAAATCAAATTGGCATAGACTCACTTTAGGTCGAATCAACATAGGCCTAATTTAAGCTAACTCAAATCTGGTTCATGTAAAGTTAAGTTAAGACATATCCATATCAAGTTTAATTAAGGTGAGACTAAATTGGGTTAAGTTGGTAAGGCCTAGGTTGAGTTAAAATAGGTTAAGGTTGAGTTAGTCCGAATTCATATAAGTTCAAGTGAATCCTAATCCACTCGGTCCATGTCAAACTGATTTAGGTCGAATTCATTTTATGCTTGTTCAGGAACTAGATATTACGTTTAAGAGCTTATTATACTGCATGAGTATCAAGAGCAAAATAAATTATTTTAATTTTAACCGTTAACTTATCATAAAAAAAAAATATTACGTATCAAAAAAATGTAACGAGCACAACCAAACGAAATTTTAAAAAATAAATATTAGGATAATTAAAATACAAATAAATATTAGAGCAGTTAAAGATTTTAATACAATCACAACGTTACACTAAATAAGTATTAAATAGGTTTAAATATTACATTATTATAATTAAATTTTAAAATAATTACATTCAATTAAAACGTGTAAATGCCATACATTCATTTCTGAAATCATTAGCCTGTATTAATTAAAGAAAATAATTTATATGGAAAGGCTAAAAAGAAAATTGTATAAGGCAATTGAAAACAATGTAAAGGAAATTCATGGTTCATTTCAGCTACCTGTGTCAAGGTTTCCAATGATCACATCTTCACCCAATGTCTTTCGCCATGCTGAGGTCTCAGGATATCCACCATTTCTCTCTAACCCAAGAAAATTCCATGAATGCGTTGTGTGTAACTTTCGTTTTTTGTTTAAGAAAACTGATACGACACTGGGATGCTCTACATGCATCAATCACAAACAACAGTTAGACAACATCAAAATAACAGTTTCTCAAATAATACACAGTATACATTTTGCAGAATAAATGTATATATACTTGCAATATTTGCTGCTTCATCTTCCTCAAGTACTGCAGCAAACCCATTGATATATCTATTATAAGAATAAAAGATTGCTTCCTTGGCCTTTTCGATGCTTTCAAAAATAAAAGAAACATGTAATCAATCTATTGGTTTTTTCTACAAGTATTTCATAGAGTAGAGATAAAATCTATACCTTCCCATGTAAGGTCCAAGAAAATCATGGTGAGAGTCTGTGACAGATTCAAGATCAACCAAAGAAGGATTTGGACCAAAAGAATGTGATCCTAAGTATACAATATACGACTGAAAAAACAAGATATATTATATTAATTACTTCAAATTTATGAAACATTAAAAAGTATAATTAGTTGTGCGCAGTCACAGAAAAACTAATGCTATTAGCAGTATCAGAAATTAGTGAATAATGTAAGTGGGGTTTTGAGACAGAGTTTGCCTGTTTGATTGCTTGAGTTGGTTCAGCCAACACAATCCCAAGAATAAGAGGTAATAACACATGAGAAATGGTTGGTGACATTGTTTGTGTTATGAANAATATTTGCTGCTTCATCTTCCTCAAGTACTGCAGCAAACCCATTGATATATCTATTATAAGAATAAAAGATTGCTTCCTTGGCCTTTTCGATGCTTTCAAAAAAAAAAAGAAACATGTAATCAATCTATATTGGTTTTGTCGACAAGTATTTCATAGAGTTGGGATAAAATCTCTACCTTCCCAGGTAAGATCCAAGGAAATCATGGTGAGAGTCTGTGACAGATTCAAGATCAACCAAAGAAGGATTTGGACCAAAAGAATGTGATCCTAAGTATACAATATACGACTGAAAAAACAAGATATATTATATTAATTACTTCAAATTTATGAAACATTAAAAAGTATAATTAGTTGTGCGCAGTCACAGAAAAACTAATGCTATTAGCAGTATCAGAAATTAGTGAATAATGTAAGTGGGGTTTTGAGACAGAGTTTGCCTGTTTGATTGCTTGAGTTGGTTCAGCCAACACAATCCCAAGAATAAGAGGTAATAACACATGAGTAATGGTTGGTGACATTGTTTGTGTTATGAATCTGTTTGTTGAAATGTGTTTATGATTTCTCTCTCTTATACTGCTGTTGTTATTATGTGACAAATATCTGAAATCAAATCATGTGGATTCAAAATCGACCTTTTAAGGCAAGTATTCTATTAAATAAAGAAACTGAATGGATAATAACACTTTTTAGATGAAACATAAAGTAAAATGTTGTGAACATTATTCTGTATCTGCATAATAGTAGATTAAAAAAAAGTTATTACTTAAATAAAAATTAAAATACGGTATATTTGAATTATTAGTAGTTTTTTTTTTCGAAGTTGTAAATGTTTTGTTGATATGAAGTAATTCAAATTGCATATGTTTAAAATTGCATATGGTATTCTGACTTCAATCTTAGGCCATAATATGTCCTTGAATCTTCTTGTACCATTCAGTCCATTTGAATCTTGCGAAAAACACTCTTACGTTCAAGTTAGTGTTTGTCTAAATATTTCAGTAATAAATGTGTAATAAAAATATCAAACTACCTGAATGTCAAACTTGTATTTATAAACTTTTGTGATGAAATTCTAATTAGAACTACCACAATTAGGGCCCATATACTAGTAATTTGGTCTAAGTTTAACTTAATTACTCTTAATAGTTTGTCTTGCTTATGTTTTAACCGATTAGTTGTCGAATAACCGTGAGCGATCATACAGTGCAACATATATTTAGTTTGTAAAGTAATTTAATTTCACCTATTGCAACCTTTTTGAGATATATTTATTTATGAAGTTAAATTTTGATATTATAAGTTACCAAAAATAAATATTAGTTAACTTTCAATTATTAAACAATTAAAATAGATTTATAATATTAGACCGTAATTAATAATTAAAAATAATTTTAATATTACATGTTATTTAATGATTTCAAAAGAATATTAAACGTCTTTCTTTTAATATTAAAAGAAATGTTTTAATATTACTTTATATATGAACACTATATTATATTTAAGTTCAAATATAAAAACTAGTGGTGTCAAAACAAGTTGGAATCCGCGAGCTAACTCCACTCACCACAGGTTTGGATAGGATTGGGTTAGAAAAAAATTTTGAAATTTAGATACGGGTCAATTTTAAATTTGGTTTACTAAGAACCCGACTCACTTAGGTTAAAATCGTGGTGAGTCAGGTTGGCTCACCAATTCACATAATTTTTCTAATAAATATTTTTTGTTGGGTTATTCATTTTACAAAATATTAAAACAAAAACTCTCGTGGAATTATTTTTGTATAGAATAATTAGGCAATTTGAAAAATCCACAAATTTATACTTAATAACTCAATTTTTATGTAAAAAGAAATTTAAATCGTTATGAAACTACAAAAAATTTTGATGAGAAGATTTTATGTCAATAAAACTTTACGTTTGATTGATCATAAATATAATTAGACCATTTTCCTTTGTTTAGATTTAAAATAGAAATTTTTTGTTATTTTTCTTAATTGAAAAAAATAAACTCATAATTAAGTGATAATGAACCAACATGTTTAACCTATTAATCCTAAGCCAAAGTTCAAATTTTTTTGACTTGCTAATAAGTAAGTCAATTGAGGTTAACTCATTAAGTAATGAATCCGTGATAAATCGAGTTAGATCGAAAATCCATTTTCACAACACTAATAACTTAAATTTCGGAGAGGGGGAAGCACAACAACATTTTTATGAAATGTAATAAATATAATAAAAATTTTATATGATTATTTTGTGAAAATAAAAACTATCATTTTTAATGTTTAGAAGCAAATTATATAATTTATTTAATATTAAAAATACAAATATTAATGACTCATAGAATGTATCACTAACACAGTCAATTTATATTATCCCTTTGAAGAAAACACATTTGTGTAGTATTCCAATATAATTTTACGTTAAAATAATGATTGAACCAAACATGTAAAGATAGTATGTGAGCAATTCAAAAGTTAAATATACAATGATAAGAACACAAAATTAGTTCATCTACAACTATAATGAGCTACTAAAACAGTGAATAATTAAACCATTTTCATTTAAAAATGTGTGCTTAATAATGGAGAAACCTAACAAATAATATTAGGCATATATTAATTCGTTAAAAAACCATTAATGAATTTAAAATATGAATAATCTTACAAAAATGCATTTTTTAAAGCAACTTTCTCTAACTAAAAATGAAGTAAACTACATTTTAGTTTGTACATAAAAGTAATATTATTAGTGAAATATTAATTTAATGGAACACTGTTTCAAAATCTTTTGAAATAAGTTAGTTAACATCAGTGGCGGACCTTTTATGATCCCCAAATGTTTCTGAACTTTTTTAAATTTATATATTATAATTTTTTTTAATTTACTAATTATATGTAGTGTAGGAATGGATGAAAATTAAATTAAGCATATTTTTTACTTTTTTTTATAAAACACAATATATAATGTTAATAAATAGTAAAATATCAAATCAAATATAATAAAGAATAAAAATAATTATTAAGATTTTTCTTTTCTTTTTCATTGCTTTTTTGAGTTTTTTTTTCATATTGTACTCGTTTTTTTATTTTCACATATTTTCTTTTTGTTAAATTAGACATAACAACAACAAAATTTATTTTCAATGAATTAGGTAGATTTGAGAGGATTTGAAGATAAACTTTTTTATTGTTTATTTCAGTGAATTTGGAGGTGAGTAGGAGTGAATTTGGAAACAACGTTTCTAAAAATTAATATAGGATTTGATTGAAAAATTTACTTTCAAATTCACTCTTACCTACCTCCAAATTTACTCAAATAAACAACAACAAAATTTATTTTCAAATCTTCTCAAATCCATTCAATCACTCTCCCCAAATCCAAAACTTCATGTATTTGAATAATAGAAATATTCATACTCCGTAGGAATTTTATTTTTTTTTATTTTAATATAGAAGCTTTCATAATTAAAAAAAAAATAGCGTACAATATTAAGGCAAAAAATTAAGAGCAATTAATATGTAATATTCATATTTAAATGATATATAAAAAACACTCTACTTTTTTAAAATATTTTTATCCTTTATAAAATATATTAAAAATTAAGAATAATATTATTTAAATTTGCATTAATTCTTTTAGGGTTTAGGGTTTAGTGAATTTGGAAACAACGTTTCTAAAATTACTATGGACCTTGTCTGAAAAATTTACTTTTCACATTCACTCTACCTACCTCAATATTTTTTTCCTCCAAGATCCCTTCAAATAAAGAACAACAAAATTTTTTTCAAATCTTCTCAAATCCTTCCATCACTCTCCCAAATCCACACTTCAGTATTTGAAATCTAATGACCTTTCATTACTCCAATAGGATGTTTTATTATTTTTTTCTATTTTAAAATGAAATAGATTTCTATTAAACACAATATCCTTAGCAATATTAATGCAGATAATTAAGAGCCCTTACTATGTAGTAGTCATATTTACATGAATATATACAAACATCTACTTTTTTAAATATTTTTATCCTTTATAAAATATATGAAAATAAGCATAGATATTATTATAAATTTGCATTAATTCTTTTAGGGTTTAGGGTTTAGTGAATTTGGAAACAACGTTTCTAAAAATTAATATAGGATTTGATTGAAAACTTTACTTTAAAATTCACTCTTACCTACCTCCAAATTCACTCAAATAAATAACAACAAAATTTATTTTCAAATCTTCTCAATCCATTCATCATCTCCCCAATCCAAATACTTCATGATTTTGAAATCTTAAGGAAATGTCCCTACTCCCAATAGGATGTTTTATTATTTTTTTCTATTTTAACATGATAGCTTTCATATAAAAAAAAAATCTTACAATATTAATGCAGATAATTAATAAGAAGCAATTAATTGTATAATATTCATATTTAAATGGATATAGAAAAACACTCTACTTTTAATAATATTTTTATCCTTTATAAAATATAGAAAAATTAGATAATATTCTTTAATTTGCATTAAATCCTTTTAGGGTTTAGGTTTTTAGTGATTTGGAACACGTTTCTAAAATTATATAGATTTCATGAAAAATTTACCTTTCAATCCCTCTTAATCCCCAATTCACTCAAATAAACAACAGCACAAAACTCTATTTTCAATTTCAAAAAATCTTCTCAAATCCATTTCAATCACGCTCCCCACTGTTTTTATTTTTTTTATTTTAAAAGGAACTTTGGCATATTAAAAAATCTTATACAATATTACATGCGATAATTAAGAGCAATTAATAGTATATTTCATATTTCAACGATATATAAAACACTCTACTTTTTTAAAATATTTCTATCCTTATAAATATATGAAAAATTAATAATAAAATATATTTAAATTTGCATTCATTTCTTTTAGGTTTAGGGTTTAGTGAATTTGGAACACCGTTTCTAAAACTTAATATGGATTTGACTGAAAAATGTACTTCAAATTCACTCTAAAATCCCTCCAAACTTCACTCAATCACAACACAAAATCTTTTTCAAATCTTCTCAAATCCCTTCAATCACTCTCCTTCCAAATCCAAAACTTGATGTATTTGAATCTAAATGAAATAATTTTTTCATACTCCCATAGGATGTTTATTGGTTTTTTCTATTTTAAAATACAATGATATCTTTCATAATTAAAAACAAAATCTACAATATTAATGCAGATAATTAGAGCAATTAATATGTATATTCATATTTAAAATGATATATCAAAACACTCTACTTTTTTAAAATATTTTTATCCTTTAATAAATATATGACATTAACGAATAATATTATCGTTAAATTTGCAATTATTCTTTTAGGGTTTACGTGAATTTGAGAAACAACCGTTCTAAAAATTAATATAGGATTTGATTGAAAATTTTAACTTTCAAATTACTCTTCCACCCTCCAAAATTCACTCAAATAAACAACAACCATAATTTATTTCAAATCCTTTCAAGAAATCCATTAATCCTCGCCCCAATCCAAACTATCATGTATTTGAAAACTAATGTAATCTTCATACTCCCATAGATGTTTATTTTTTTTTCTATTTTAAAATGATAGTTTTCCTAATTAAAAAAATATTCTTACTAATCTTATGCAGATAATTAAGAGCAAGTATATGTTATCATATTTAATGATATATAAAAACCTCTACTTTTTTTAAAATATTTTTTTATCCTTAATAAAATATATAAATTAAGAATAATATTATTAAATTTGCATTAATTCTTTTAGGGTTTAGGTTTAGTGAATTTGGAAAAACTTTTCTAAAATTCATATAGACCATTGAGTGAGCAACTTTACTTTCAATTCACTCTTACTCCATCCAAATTCACGTCAAGTAACACAACAAAATTTATTTTCAATCTTCTCAAATCCTTCAATCACCTCTCCCCAAATCCAACTTCATGTATTGTAATACTAATGAGATCTTCCGCTCCAATTGATGGTTTATTATTTTTTTTCTATTTAAAATGATAGCTTCATCATAAAAAAAATCGTACATATTAATGCAGATAATAAGAGGCATTAATATGTAATATTCATATTTAAATGATATAATATAAAACCTCTAAACTTTTTTAAAAATATTTTTTTATCACCTTTATAAATATATGAAAATTAAGATAATATTATTTTAAATTGCATTATTCTTTTAGGGTTTAGTGAATTTGGAAACAACGTTTCTAAAAATTAATATAGGATTTGATTGAAAAATTTACTTTCAAATTCACTCTTACATCGCTCCAAATTCTCTCAAATAAACAACACCATAATTTATTTTCAAATCTTCTCAAATCCATTCAATCACTCTCCCCAAATCCAAAACTTCATGTATTTGAAATACTAATGAAATATTCATACTCCCATAGGATTTTTATTATTTTTTTCTCTTTGAAAGGATAGTCTTTTTCCATAAGTCAAAAAGAATTTACAATCTTAATGCATATTAATTCAGAGCAATTAGTATGTCAATATTCAATGTAAAATGTATATCAAAACACTCTACTTTTTTTAAAATATTTTTATCCTTTATAAAATATATGAAATTAGAATAATTTTTAATTTTAAATTTGCATAATTCTTTTAGATAATTTTATTCGTTTTCTGTTTCGGGTTTCGTTCCTCGTTTTCAAAGTAAGGTTACAATTTGGTCCCTCCATTCTTTTTCAGAAACGTCGTTTTAGTCACTCTAAAACTAACACTGTTTAAAAGTTGGTCCTCATTAGCACAAATGAGGACAACACCAAATTTCGAGGACTAACACGAACGTTTCGAAAGAATGAGAACCAAATATACCTTACTTTGAAAGAGGGACGAAAACCAGAAACGGCCAATAGTTTAGGGACTAAAAACATATTTAACCCTTAAATTTTAATCACAAATTTGGTTCTCTAATATTTCATCTTATTGCTTAAAAGAATACTACATATTTAATAATAATAATAATAATGTTAAGTACTTATTTATATAAAATATTAATAAAAAAATTTGAAAATTAATTATAATAGAAATTAATAGTGGATTAAAATTGCTTAATTGCATCAATTAAAAACCTACATATGTGGCTAAATTTTTAAACTATAAAATTGGCACATTTGCAAACACCGAAAATTGCATTTAAACATTAACGAGTGAGACATAAAATAAATAAATAAATTATTACTTTTTAGATAATTGTTTTTACACTGTTTGATTTGGATTCTGTGTTGGAAAAAAAAAACTATGTTTGAATTGACATTCTTAATCAGGACAAAAAAATTGTTAATACACTAACCAAAGCAAGTAGCGGCAGCACCAGGGAGAGTTGAAGTTAGAGCCTATGCTGGTGATCCTAGTGGACTCATAGGCTTAGATACAATAACAGGGAGCCAAGCCACCTCTCTCTGACTACAGCGCCAACCATCAATACATTGCTCTAAAACTTCAAATTCAGGGTTTCTGCATATTCCAAATTTCCAACTATCCACAGAAACCCGCGATCCGCACAAAACAGAATACAGGCGTTTGAAAAACGCTGTTGATTCCAGAGCGAGATGGAGGTCGAACTCAAACAGTTGAACGCCGATCTTCAATTTCTGAGTCAATCGCTTCCCGATCCATCTCACCATGCTTTGCTCGACAAGGTTTTTCTTCTTTTCAATTCCGAATTTATATCCCGATTCCATCAATTAAGCTGAAGACTCCTCACGAGTGTCAATGTACGTTATTATATCCGATTATAAAATAACGAAAATGTGTGTATTTTTGCTTTTATTTTTTTGAAGATTCAATTGCGTGTTGAGGAACTTGGCAAGCTTGCAGCGGCTGCACCTGTTCGACGCTCCAAAGTCGAGGTAATTGAATTGCCTATTAGTCTGGTACATCACTGTATTTTTTTTTTATTTGATGAATTTACAGTGTTAAGTTTAATTGAATGGTTTTTCTTCTTATTACATTGTTGCCAGGATATGAGTGCTGAGGTTGTAGATAGCAATCCTTATAGTCGGCTTATGGCACTTCAGAGAATGGGTATTGTGGAGAACTATGAAAGAATACGCGATTTCTCCGTTGCCATAGTTGTCTGTATTAATCTCCTTTATCACTCTTATTTGCTGTAGCATAAATTTGTGACTAGCGTGTTTTTTATTTTTTTAGTTATTTGAATATTTAATGGCATAAATTAATAAGTTCCAAAGACCGAAGTGCGTTGAATTACAAGAGCATGAAACATTATTCTTCCCCCTTGGGATTTAATTAAGGAGTTCTTGTCGTTAATTCCTCTTAGAATCACCTTTATTTTGGGAACTGCTTAGAATGACATTCTTATTGTTTATTTATGGTCATTTCTTTTGATAAGAAATTAGGAATATATACCGTCTAAGTTCTGAGCATAGATAATAAGCTTGTTGGAGTATTTTTTTATCCATTGCTAAAATATTTTCCAATATGACATAATTTATGGTGAATATACTGTTCATATGGAGCATAACTTAATCTGCATTTTTTTATTGAAATATGTGATTAGAGTTATCTACCTTTGGCAATCTTGTTTTAGTATGTTTAGAAGTTATTCCATGTTCTATTTGTACATAAAGGATTGTTATGCGTGACATTTAATTAGACTAACTATCTAGCTATAATTGGACATAAACTCCTTTAATTCAGATCATACTCACTGAGAAAATACTTGATTTATGCAAAGTGTTTCTACGGCCTTGCTGAATTTTTATATTAGAGGATAAGCCTTTTGGTCATGAACATAAACAATGGATGAATAATTTTGTAGAGGATAAACCAATATGTGATCCTGACTATTTTTAACTCTATCGAAAAGATCCTCTCAATTGCTTTCTTCTGTTTTCATTGAAAAAATTAATTTTGGGTTATTCTTGCACAAACACAGGGGATAGGTGGTGTAGGAAGTGTTGCAGCTGAGATGCTGACTAGATGCGGCATAGGTCGACTTTTGTTGTATGATTATGACAAAGTGGAGCTTGCAAACATGAATAGGTTGTTCTTTCGTCCAGATCAGGTGAGTACCCAATTCTTCATTTTCTTGTTTTGCAATTATTTATTTTTGTATGTTTATTATTTTTACACATTATGTCGTGAAATTGAAAGGGCTAATAACATGAGTGATTTTTAACATTAATTCTCTTGGCTGACAAAGTGAAAATGTGAAGTTTGATGCTAATAGCTAACTGAAGAATTTTGTACAACAAAGCTATATATTAAAATATATTTGCCATCATGAAGTTTCTAGAAGTGCCCTGTGTCCTTACCATAAATTGTGATATAATATTTTTAGCTTTCCAGGTTGGTTTGACTAAGACTGATGCAGCTGTACAGACTCTTTCAGACATAAACCCTGATGTTGTACTAGAGGTAAACATTATGCAGTGTTTATAGGCATGGGATCTTTTCACGTATCGATGTAACTGTTAAAATGAATCTTTATAAACATTTTAATGATTGGTAATATGTTAATACACTTTATCTGCTGACATATTTCCCTTTTCCTTTTTGATTTAGAGCTATACACTGAATATCACAACCGTCACAGGTTTTGAAACCTTTATGTCAAGTTTGAAAAAAAAGTCATTTTGCCCAAATAAAGAAGGGAGTGGCGTGGATCTGGTTTTAAGTTGTGTGGATAATTACGAAGCAAGAATGGCTGTTAACCAGGTATATAAAAAACCATTTCAATTAAAAACAATTACTTTTCTTCTGTTTGGTTTTCCCTAGGGATTCTCATGTCTGACTGATTTCTGGAAGCACTGCAGGCCTGTAATGAATTGAGTCAAACATGGATGGAGTCAGGTAAGCATAAGGATCTGCAGATCTCTTCTCTTGTTAGGGATAAAATTCTTGGACTTGTTTATGGAAGGAAACTAAATTTCTCTAGATTGACTCCACCTTTGTCGATATTATGGAGTAGTAATGTGAAAAGAATCGTTGATACTCAAAGATAGAAATAAACATGGTTTTGATAAATATTGCAAAACATGATTTTCCTTTGCCATTATTTCATGGTGCTAAAAAAGTATGGATTCCTTCGTATCTATACGTGGCTACTGACTATTTACTGGCATATGTTATACAGGCCAGCATCTAATGCATTCTATATGCAATATTTTTATTTTTTATTTTTGCAGTCTGTATGTATGAAGTATGGATCTTCTTTCGTGTGGAAACTCATGAAATATACAAATTTGAACAGGTGTTTCTGAGGATGCTGTTTCTGGCCATATTCAATTACTTATTCCTGGTGAAACTGCCTGTTTTGCTTGTGCCCCTCCTCTGGTATGGCTCATTCTTATATGAGTTTGTGTGTGAATCATAATTGATGATGAGTGGCCTTAAGGGATTAAACTTACTTATATCTGGTACTATACATGATTTCTGAAGCTCATCCATAGGAGATAGATGCTTGAGCTATTTAATAACTAGATATAAAAAAACTTTGGATGAATTACTTTATAGCTAGTCTATTGATGTGTGTAATTTCATCCACCTTACAGTAAATGTGAGTCTTTTATGCAGTATGTACAACATGTGAAGCATGCATTTACGTTTTCCTTTTAGGTTGTTGCATCTGGGGTAGATGAACGCACACTCAAGCGTGAAGGGGTCTGTGCTGCCTCTTTACCCACCACTATGGTAAACTATGATTCTCTATATCTTACATTGGCTGCTTCTCTTCATAGTTTTAAATTCAAATACTTTGTGATGTTATATCTTTTTAAATTTTCAATAGATATGACATTTTCAACTAATTTTAGGGGCTTATATATTTATGTTAGTTGTTTAGAGTGTGCAGCACACTTTTAGTTTATTGTTATCTAACATTACAAAATCTTATTTGATTTCCTAGGGGGTTGTTGCTGGCCTTCTAGTCCAAAACACACTAAAATTATTGTTAGGCTTTGGACAAGTCTCTCCATATTTGGTAAGGGATGGATTGGTGTTTTCTTTATTCTTCTTCCTGAGTTGTTACAAATGGTTCCTTTATTCTAAAAAACAAATTAACAAAGTAACAAACTGAGTTCATTCTTCAGAGGAATCTGATGAGACTACTTCAATGAAAGACAGTCTCTGTTTTTGTTAAATACATTAACTGTATGCTAATATGCTCACACTGGTTTGTTTATCTTTAGGGATATAATTCTCTAAAGGATTTTTTTCCAACTATGCAAATGAAGCCAAACCCTCAATGTTCAAATGTTGCTTGCTTGAAAAGACAGGTCAGTTGTTTATGTTTTGAAATTTTGAAAGTAATGAAAGTGTTTACAATCGTGTCCTATCGATCTCGTCAATAAATTCATCGCTCCTTCCAAATACGAAACTGCTATACATGTCATGCAGGAAGAATACATGCTTGCAAAACCAGCAAGAGATGCTGCAGCCAAAGCAAAAATGGAAGCTGAAGTACTATCAACTGAGGAAGTGCCACTTCACGACGATAACGAATGGAATATAAGGTGTTTAATGACTCTGTTATTGTTCATTTGTATGTGTGTAAGAGAAGATACGAAACACCCTTATCAGTTAGCATAGATTTATCCTTGATTTACTACTAATCGCTAGCATTTATGCAAAGTACCCAATAGTATCAAACGTTATTCCTTCTTTGTTGAAATTTTATAGCCTTTATATGTAATGATGTTCTTTTGCATTAATTTCCAGTGTTGTTGATGACGTTGAGCTGGATGGTCCGGATACCAGAAGTTCAGGTATTATATTATTTACATTTTTTGAAAGTGTAAATTCATAATCATAAGCTCAGAATTTATCCTTCCTTACAAGTGAGTTAAAGTGCTGCATGCTTTTCTGTGGTTGTTATCACTGCTAGATAATTCAGGAAGTAAAAAATGTTGGTACTAAAATTTGCATGGCCCCACTTCTTGTGGATGTGGTCAGCTTATATAATTTTATAAGTGCTTTTATAGTAACAATGAAATAAAATAAAAAGTTAGAATGAATAAAAATTCTCTAAATTTTATATTATGCATCTTAACCTATGAAGCTCGGACATGCCTCACAAATGGCGTGTCCCCGAGTTTGACAAGTATCAGACCCCGCATACGACACTCGTACGACACGTATCAGATAAATGTCCAATTGAAAAGACATATTTTTGTCTTTGACATAACCTTGACATGGTTTCAACAGCATGTTAATAAGGAAAAATGCTATTATTTTCTAAAAACTCAAACTTGTAAACTTATTGTTTAAGTTTCTATTATCATTATAGAAATAAAGAACAAATATTATATGATCACTACTTTTAACTTTTTGATACTAGATAGATGGATTAGATTCAGTTTTATATTAAATTACAATATTTATATTATTATATTTGACTATTGTTGTTTATAAATGATTTTAAATATATAAATATTGATTGTTAAATGAAATAATTCATAATGATCTAATATTAGATATGTGTCCTCGTGTCCTACGTTTTGGAGACTACAAGTATTGAAGTGTTCGTGTCCCCTGTCCCTGTCAGTATCCATGCTACATAGATCTTAACTTTTTCAGAAGAAGAAACTTTTAAAACAATGTTGAAGTACATAGATTGATTTTATCTTGTGAAAGGATGATTCACTTAACTTGTGCAACTCATTTTTATTTTTAAGAGCTCACTGAAACTGGCCCAAAGATGCATTGATTGGTTCCTAGTTTGTCGGAACACGGGTGAAATTCAGCTCCTTACTGTAAATGTTTTCACATAAAATGTTGCTTTCTCTGGTGCACCATTACTGCAAAAGCGCAAAGTTTTATCCCTTATGACATTTTGGTCCGTCCAAAGGTTAAATTGCTATTGAAAATATTAGTAGGGAATGCGTTTACATTTCGATCTGAAGGGTTCAAGATCTGTTTTTGTTTTCGGTGTTCATTTTCAATTAATATTTATATTAACCTTTTCTCAATATGTATTTCAGATGTTCTGCCGGAAGGTCTCACACATGAACTTCCTAGTGCAGACGAGTTTCATGAGGCAACTCCTGACGCTCCAGTAGCTGACAATGACGACCTTGAAGATCTTCGTAGGCAACTTGAAGCCATTAATTCTGCATAGTATAGTGTCAAAATATTTTTGCCTTTTTTAAAGGAAAAAATTTCTGAACTTAATTGTTCAATTGAGCCAGATTAACTTTGAAAATTGAGAAAACTAATGTTAAATTATTGACTATTTTGACAATCCATCCTGCACTTTTAATTAAACATGTTTATTGAAAACGTGAAAATGTTTTTTAATAAAAACTAACGGCATAAAAAATTGATTTTGTTTCAGAAAGTGATTCTTAAACATATCGAAGCGTATGAGTTGCTTAGTTCATTACGCTTTCCATACCTAGTCAGCTTACTGAGTGAAAAATCATTTGATTTTCTAACCGTGAATAAAAATAAGGACTTGCTGAAGCTTTGTTAACATTCAAAGATATTATTCTTTATAAATACTGACTTCCTTACGAACTTCACCGGTATAACACTACGGCGAATGTGCTATTCGGAATTCAATTTTATCCCAAGCGTGAATAGCTCTTTGCACCTTTCATCTTGTATTGTCCTGGATTGCCGCAATATCTGCATTGGAATTATATTTAACAGAGCCAAATTTGAATATCATCATGGGGGAATTATAAATATTGGGTGGGTCCTCAATGGCCTTATTCCCTATTATGGCAAGACCCTTGGGCATATGGGTTGGTTAATTTGTACTTTACTTGCACAAGTCCTATGTGACTACTATAGACCACTTGCATATGGCTTAATTAATTCTACTAGGTTTTCTAATTGTCCTCGTTGCTTATTTTGGATTATACGACTGATAAGCACCTTTCTCAGGAATAGAATTTCAAAGGCACTAATATCAACGATTATTATTTCCAACGACTTCCCCGCACAAGATACATAAACATACTAAAAAACAACCTTCACATCCTTCGAGTATATTTTACAGACAAGACCTAAATAACAACTGTTTCTACAACTAAGAAACTTTTATGGATGTTAAACATGCTCACGTTCCAGTTCTACAGTCCACAGTAAATTAGAGGAGTGGTTTCTGCTGATTTGGTCAGAACCTTCCAACTATCTCTTCTTTCCGTTCCTTTCTCTTGAAATGTGTAAGAGAGGTGTTGTATCATATTACAAAGTAAAAATTTAAGTCAAACTTCAAAATCTAGTTCTCCTCAAACTTCAGATGAATTCCATTCATCAGTGGTTGATGTTTCCTCACCTGCATGATAAGAAAATTCTTCACACCAATATTATAATCCATATCTTCTTCAGAATGGCTAGAGATATTAAAAACAAATATATGGAACTAACAGCTACAGAAGCTAATTATATTGAATCAGTATCAGTGGGTACCCTCAAGCCTATTGAACTGCAACGATAATTTATTTACAAACAAAAGTTTACGAAAATGTTACCTTTACACCAGCTAATGAAAGTAGTTTGTGAGAGGCTATATATGCCATAGCTGAATTTTCTAATTTCTTCTCCACAAAATAAATTACTTCCGAAACTCCTGACTGCAAGAAAGAATTTAATCGATGATGCCCCTCTTTTAAAGATTGGGTAGTAAGATAAAGATATGTCCAACAAGTGTACATTGAATATGATTATCAGCTAATACAGAGATCATAAATTATTGTAATTTTCATCAACTTAACGCCAAAAAGTAGTTGTTACTCATATTATACAAACTAAGTTTTACCCCTCAGGGAAGCCTACTGTAACATAATGACAGAATGTAGCAGTTGTAAATGACACCTGATTCAACACACATAAGGGACCTCTCAGCCAAAAGAACATAAATGATGCGATTTATTTTAGAATTTTGACTTGTCATTAACTTATATCACAAACTGACTTGTAACATCAGAGTTATCTCTCACTTATTAGATCATCTTCAATTCACATTCTCACACCAAGGCTAATAATGAAATGATAGTAAGTGATCGAACAAGCTTTTATAATCATTAGGATAAACTTTAATATTATAATTATTTGGCAAAACTAATTTAAAGCTTTGAAGGTAAAAGAAAAACTGACTAGTTGAGTTGGTAATGTTTTAAAACGTAAGTGTTTGATATAATGATATGCTTATAAAATGACAAAAATAAGCATCCCAGTACAATGTTGTATATAACTTTTAACTTCATTGATAAAAATATATTTCGGAGTTTTTATAATTTTAGTCTTTAATTAACTTTAAAAATTTTGTAATTTTATTTATAATCAAATTCAAAATAAAAGAATATCATACCTTTTAGTAGATATCATGTTTTCATTATTTCAATTAATGTAATAGTTAAAAATAGAGGAATATATAAGAATCATCATTTATCAATAATATTAATATTTTGAAGTCTAGTATCAATATAATAAAATAAATAGTGTAAATAGTATAATAGTCAAAATAAATAGTATAAAATAAAAAAATTACAAAATTAATTATTATCAATATCTTATGTAATAAAGAGGGGGAAAAATCTTAAGTAAAAATAATAAATAAACCCTGCTTTATGAGTGGAAGAGAAAAAGTTAAATGTAAAAAATCTTACCTCATGAAAAGAAAATGAAAGGAAGATTGAATGATAATTTTAAAAAGGTAATAATTATAAAAAACTAGAAGCTAGGGTTTTAAAATAACACTACAAACTAGTAAAAATATTGTGTTTATCCAACACTGTTAATAAAGTTTAAAAAAAAAAAATCAGCTAGCAAGCAAATTTAGAAGTTAGCTCAAACATCTTATAGATATCCTATCCTAGAATTTTAGTTTGCATTAAACTCAACTCCGCAAAACCATGAAAATGTCTCTCACTTCTATATTTTAATTTAATTATATTTTTAATCAATATAATATAAGATCTCCAACATATTTTCTTATCAGAGCAAGAAAGGGTAGTGCACTACTCTCGTAAATACTTAATGCTTTGACAACAAAAATGAAGACAGTTCATCGAAACATATTATTCGTCAAGCAGGACAACGTTACCAACCTGGATTATGATCTTTGCACATTCATTGCAGGGAAACATGGTCACGTATAGCCGCTGCAACGATTAGACAAGAGAAGAAGAGATAATTGGAACCTTTTTGTATCAGGTGATTAAATAAACAGTTTGTTTACAAAGCATGTGTTCTGTAAGCAATCCTGAGTATATATATTAGTTAAGAAATTTAACATAGAAAGTTTTCACTGAAATTTACATTCTTAATGAATTGGAAACCACAATTAATGAAATACATTAATGAAAACTTGCTACTTTGTTAGCATTTGTCATAACAAGGAATCTCTAAGAAAATTATTTTCTACTCAGTGACTGAGCCAGATACATAATCAAGTTTCCAAGAAAACATTATAAATAAAGCATAACTAAATATTCCGATTAAGACATTTAAATGATATGTTAACCAGATAGTGTAGCGAAACTCACTTGTCCAGCAGCAGAGGCGTGATTTGTGTTAAGAATAGCATTTACTTCTGCATGACAAACATAACTAAAGTAGACAGAAAAGGCATAATTAGCACGATCACGTTTAATAATAATTAAAAAAAAAACAATGACTTGAGCAAGAACATTGTCAAGCCACAAAGAAGATTCAGTGCATAACAGAATTCATCTCCTCGAAACACACTTACGGGTACTTTGTCTCCAAAGGATTCCCAGTCCTGGATTTCTGAAACACCGAGATTTCTGAATGAGAATGTTTAAACAATACTAAAATAAAAGCACAAAAATAGTTCTCTTAAAATGTCAACCTTTGCCCAGGGTAGCTTGTCATCAGAACAACCCCTTGGAAACCCATTATAACCAATTCCTGACAGAAGAACAATCAAAGTAAAGATCCATGTTTCACATATGAAAGAAAAATGGATATAAGAACCTAATGAACTTACCAAGAATTATACCATCTTGACTCACCAAACAAGCGCCAACCTGCAACATCAACAACCCCAAATGCACAAATTTATAATTTAAACCAACCCAAGCAAACCCAAAATCCAAATTTAATTGTATTCACAAAAATTGAAATAAACATGACCTGCCTGTTAGGATCTTTGGACCTCTCGGCTGACAAAAATGCAATTGCCATAAAATAGTCATCCCACGATAAATATCTGTATAATTATATAAATTAAGTAAAAAAAAAGTTCAATCCATCTATTTTTCGCCACAGGATAACTCAAACTTACCCTTTTCTCTTCGAAGGGTCGAAAGGGTCCGGAGGAAAGGAAACCGTGCCGTTTTGGGATGATTTGACACGGGCTTGAGAGCGGCAGAAGAAGCGGAGAGCAACTGCAGAGGCCATGGCGCCAATCACAGTTGCCGTGGCAACCAAAGTAGCTTCGCGATAGTTCATAGATTCAGAAATATGAAAACCAAAGCGAATTGGCTTTAGGAGAAGATGCCGTTTTGGAGTTCAAAATGTGAAAAATAAATTGTATGAACTACAAAATAAATAAATAAATGAACACAAGACTTAGAATTTGGAAGCGGGAAAGAGAGCGGGAAACTTTCCATGTGTTTTACACTAATTTAGTTAAAGTTTATAGGATAGAAAAAAATATTTAAATTCACTTAGTATTATTGTATCTTTGTTTTTTGGAGTGGGAACAGGGAGTATAAGAACAACAAAAAGGAAAAAAAATATATATACTTAAATTGTAATTTTTGTAAAATAATTTGATATACTAATACACTTTTTAGACATATAAATTATACTTAAAATACATTTCAAATTAAAATGAAGGCAAATCATTATAAAATTTTAATAAAAAATTATATTTTATAACATTTATTATTTCAATTTTTTATTTTAATTGTTTATTTATTATTATATAATATTATGGAAGTGTTAACAATCATTAAAAAGTATAAATTATGCTTGATTAATATATAACACAATCAATATGATATTTTTTCCAAGTAAAAGTAATACACTGAGTTGATGGTACTCACAAAATAAAATAAAATTACATGGTTTTCATGATGATGAGAAAAGAGAGACTTACAGTAAGAAAAAAAGAATTAGAAGCAGGAATAAGATACTCGAATATCCTTAAGTATTATTTTTTCTAAAAAAACATTTTATATTTCTTTATAAAATACAGAGACAAAATTAATATATACTTTAAAATAAAATAATTTTAGTTAATAATTTAAAGACGAAATCTCTCATTA